GTGATACTAACATGACTTTAGTCATAATTAAATGGGATGAATCTTCTTTGGCTTTTGTTGCTAGGCAATAAATGGGCATGCAGTTGGGGGATATGTACATTATGTGTTCACAATTAAAGTCCAGTGTAGAAAGAATATGTCTGAAATATACTTCAGGCCCTAGGAAACTTGTTTTAATACAACTCATTATTTCACGAATGCTGTAAAGCTGTCCCCATGCTGCCATTGTTAGGATTAACTACTATAAACTACCACATACAATTATTCATTTTTTAATTTATTTATTTCATTTTTATGCCACCTCTCTCCCAGAAAGGGACCCAAAGCAGCTGAGAACAGTCAAAGTACATCATGCAGGGGCTTATGTATAATTTTGGCCTGTAGAATTTAGAATACTTTCATGTCTCTTGAAATGTTCAAACTGAAGTGAGACATAATCTCAAATTATGTCTAATAAAAGCAGCATGATAAATTTAAATCCAGGTCTTGTGCAATCACTTAAAAGGGGGGCACATAAAAGGATGCCTTTTTTGAATAAAAGGGTTTGTAGGTAGTGGGTACTCAAGCATCATCCTATTTGCCTTTCCATCAGTATCTATATATTCCACCATACTTCAATACAGTCAGCCTCCATATCCACAGATTTCTTATCCACGAATTCAAAAATCCATGGCTTGAAAATATTTTTAAAATTGTAAATTCCAAAAAGCAAACCTTGATGTTGCCATTTTATATAAGGGACACCATTTCACAATGCCATAATATTTAACGGGATTTGAGTATTCATCAATTTTGGTATCCACGGGGGTCCTGGAACCAAACTCCAGTGGATACCAAGGGCCCACTGTACTGATTTGAAGAAATCTGCTTGGGACGCAGAAAGAGGTTGAAAGGTAACCTAGAGTCACTGAAGGGTTCAGCTCTCTATAGCAAAGACAGGCAACCTTTTTGAGACCTGGGCCGGTCTCCCATAGCCCAGGTCTCAGCTGGGCCGAGGAGGGAATGGCAGCCACCCTCCCCTGACGCACGCGACCCCCCCTGCGCACGCTGCCAATGCAACCTTTGTTGCTGGGGGAGAGGGAGAAATGGTGCGGGGGCCGGTTGTATGGGAGTTGGGGGTGTGCGCGCGTGCGCCCACCCGCCCGCCCCTCACAGCCACCTCGAATTCACCTCAGGATCGAGCGGGGAGGCCTTGGAAAGGTCCCTCCAAGGCCTCCCCACCCCGATCCTTGGGCGAATTCGCCTCAGGATCGAGCGGAGGCACCTTGGAGGACCGTTGCCAAGGTGCCTCTGCTTGATCCTTGGTAAATTCACCCTGGAAGCCTGTCGCCACCGAGGGTCCCCCCGGGGAGGCTTCCCTTGGCGGCGACGGGCCTCCTGGAAGCCTGTCGCCACCGAGGGTCCCCCGGGGAGGCTTCCCTCAGTGGCAACGAGCCTCCTGGAAGCCCGGCGCCACCGAGGGTCCCCCTGGGGAGGCTTCCCTCGGCGGCAACGGGCCTCCTGGAAGCCCGGCGCCACTGAGGGTCCCCCCGGGTAGGCTTCCCTCGGCGGCGATGGGCCTCCTGGAAGCCCGTCAACACCAAGGGTCCCCCGGGGGAGGTTTCCCTCGGCGGCGACGGGCCTCCTCCCGGGCACCGTGTGCGCTGCCAGCGCCGCGGACGCCATTTTGTTCTCCAAAATGGTGGTCGCGACGTATTTGCGCATGCACAGTAATCCTGCGCATGCGTAAACACGTTGTGGCCGCCATTTTGGAGAACAAAATGGCGGTGGCGGCACGTGCGGCCGGGTGGCAACCAAACCGGGCGGCGGCAGGGGTCTGCCTGGGCCAGCAAGTCCAGCAACCCGGGCCGGAATCGGCCCGGGGGCCGTAGGTTGCCGACCCCTGCTCTATACAGTTAACCATATTTGCTCCCTATGTACACTGAGCTTCCATTTTCTCATAAACAGGAGCTTTTTATGGTGAACCTCTATGCTCTATGTTCAATATACTATGATGTTAATTAAAGGGAAACCTATATTCTGTTTTACATGAGAAGAAGCTAGATCTCCACAATATGTATTGCATGAATACAAAGACTGGAATATCAATCAACACAAAAGTTGCATTAGAAACCAGATGAAGTACTAAAAAGGGCCTTTACAGACTGCCAGAAATAATGTAGCTTGAGGCCACTTTAATTTTCCTGGCTCAGTTCTAGGGAATCATGGGAATTGTATTTTTTTCAGGGACATTGAGCCTTCTCTGTCAGAGAGCTCTGGTGCCACAATAAACTACAGTTCCCATGATTCCCTAGCACTGAGCCAGGACAGTTCAAGTGGCCTCAAGCTGCATTATTTCTTGCAATCTGTAAAGGCCCTAAGTCAATCTGCTTAAAGTAGATCATGTCGTCCACCTCATGTCCTAAACTAAACTCCAAACCATGAGCAATGTAACTCAGAGCAAAACTAATCAGGAACTGCAAATCCTCAAACAAATAAGTAGTACCAAATAAGGGCTGTATAAAGAGAACAGACCCCTGACTCACCAGAGAGAAATTTTGAGACAGAAGAGGTCTTGACAGATATAGGTCAGCAGACCCTGTCTCAAGAATCCCACAACTTGCAATCTGATCCCAAAGGCAGACACACTGCAGTCCACTCAAAGGAAGAGGGCACGAGGGGAGATTCAAAGAGGAGAAAAATCAGATGGAGTGTATTTGTGTGAGAAAGATACCAGAATAAGAATGCCCTGCCAATAAGCAGTTTAAATTTCCTTCTACAAAGTGCCCAAAATTTACTTTGCTTCACAACTCCATTCTCTTCCCTGGATTCCTGGAATGGAAATACTTGAATAGTGGACAGATATAATCAGTTATAAAGCAACAATATTATGTTGATGTAAAACATATTTGCTCAGAAGTAGCAAACTATCTGCCTAGCACAGAAATTAATAGAATGAAATATATCTTGTTGTGATTACATATTTTATGGGTTAAAACAGAAGTTTTCTCCAATCAAGAAACAAAGTGAATGAGCTTTTACCGTAGGTTCTGCAATCTAACATGAAAAGACAATTAGAAAAGCAAAGCAGGAATTCTATATCCAAGTCATATAAAACAATTTCCTAAATTTTAAGTTATAGTTCACTAGCACTTTATTAGCTATTCAGAAATACCACTCTGCTTGATTAACAAAGTGTAATGCAAAGGTTGTACATTTGCAAATGCAAACTACAGTGGGGGGGGGGCAACAGCAAAATATTCTGGACAACTACAGACAAAGACACAATATAATGTATATACTCATATATAAGTTGATTCATGTATAAATGGGATCAAAACTATGGATTTTGCTATGTGGATAAGTCCTCTCCTTAAAAAAATGCATAGAGGGGACATACTTTAGAAGAGCTAAAGACAAGGTATCTCCTATCTGAGTATCTGAGACATTACAATGGGGCAGGGGTGTAAATGGCATTAAATATTTTGCAATATCTACTTCTATACAAAGAGACACAGATAGGGAAAGGAATATAAATTAGGAAAAAGAATGAGAATGTGTTCTGAAAAGAGGGGGGTGACAAATAAAAGCAACCTGCCTCAAATAGGGACACAGCAAAGGCAGTGACAAGAGGAAGAGACAAGAAGCCCCTCTTGGTGTGGAAGCAGTACTCCCACCCCTTTACCTCTCCCCTGTCAAAACTGAAGAAAGACAGCCCTTTCTCCAGCCCCACCTACTTTTTCGGCCCAGGTGGTATTCAGCAGCAAACTGGGAGAGACCAAAGAGAGACTGTAGTAGCCATTTTAATAAGGGCATAGTATTTTAGCCTCTCTGTAGAGAATGCATCAGACATTTTTAATAGGGTCATAGTGCATAAGCATCTCTACAAAGACTACCAAGCCTCATGAGGCTTATATAATATGCCCCTACTAAAGATGGCTGCCTCAATCTCTGCAAAGAAACTTCTATAGTATGCTTCAATTAAAAACTGGCTGCCACTCTTCAGGCTCCTCCATTACAGCTAAGAGTGACTCCATTACAGAGGAGGGTGACTAAAATGGTGGAGGGTCTGGAAACCATGCCTACGAGGAA